GCAGCATTTAACTTTAATAATATATATATGTGTGTGTGTGTACGTGTGTGCATATATATATATATATATATTATTTTATCTTTGTTCAAATTGCGAAGAAATTATGGTAGTAGGCATCACTAATTTTTTTTAATTTTGAGTGAAACGTTATGCTCTGTTAATTTAATTTAGATGAAAATCTACAAAGAAATAAAATAATTTAAATTAGATTAAATTTTAATTTTTAATTTAATTACAAAAACAAATTAATTTTTAAATTGAACAAAAATCAAATTAAGTGAAATGAAATTAAAACTTTTGACTTAAATTTCAAATAAAATAAAATAAAATTTTATTTCGAATGAAGAAGAATAAAGGTGAGGAATAAAATTTACACCTTACAGTAGTAATCATCTATGTGCCGTATCGTTTCAGGACGTGGCCAGTCATGGCTCTCCACATCTTCCTACCCCTTGTAGTTCTTAGCAATGTTTGTACCTTTGCTAAGCCTCTCGCACCATTTATTCACACAAGCTGTTTCCGAAGGTGGCTCGCCGTTTTCCTCTTGCATCTTGTCTTTAATAAGTTCTGTGAGTGTCAAATTCTCCAAGTCCACCTTCCTCATTATGTGTGCAAGAAATTTCAGCTGTTTGTTTCTGATTTGAAGTGTATCCTTTTTGTTTCCATTTTCCTTAAAACGTCATCGCTGCTTACGCGTTCCGTCAATGGTATTCTCATTATCCTTCTGTAGAACATTTCTGTTAATTCCAGTTTTCTGTTAATCCCAGTTCTCTCTTCATCTGTGAGAAGATTATCCAGTATTCACTGACTTATAGGTGGTCTGTTATTAAATAAAAATTCAGCAATCTCTTCTTTGGTTGTAACGTAATTTACTTGTTTCTTATTACTTTGCTTGGCTTCTGGAAGGCATCTTTCGCATTCGAACTTCAATGTCGCATTTTCCATCCACTGTTAAAACACTTCCTAGATATTTAAACTTCTGTACTTGTTTGGTGTTGACATCTTTTTTTTTAATCAATTTCACCCCATACAAGGCAGTAAATCCACTAAGGCACAAGCGATTACTGAGTGCGAAAGATTAAGAAAAAAAAAGAAAAATGATTATGGAGCGAAAACAATTGAAGTCGAACAAGGAAGATAGTAGATAAACACTGACACTGCATTTAAACTTTTAAAGATCATAGGTGGAGATATAATAATTTACTGATACAAGGCTTACTGATTAACCCATAACTGGGGGAGAAGAAATCGATTAATACCTTTCACGAGGGTATTTCCGTTTAAGTGAATATAACGAACTAGACAAATTTTTTCGAGATAATATTGATTTAGTGATGCAAGTTTTACTAATTAACCCATAGCTAGGGAGAGAATGGGTGGATTTATACCTAATCATAATTCGATAAACAAACAAGAAGAAATTATAATGTGGATAATGCATAAAGTGATCCCTCACTTTCTAACTGCAATAGATTCTATACATTTATATTTCAGAGAATATAAATAAATTTAAAGACATGTCTGTGTAGCTAATCAGTATTTGATTGATCGACTGATTTGCTACAAAATGTTTATATAAGTATAAACAGATACATATAGGTATTAATATTTTTTTAATCAATTTCACCCCATGCAAGGCAGTAAAGCTACTAAGACACAAGAGTTGACTGGGCGTGAAAGAATAAGTAAGCAAAGAAAATTATTAAGGAACAAGAACAATAGAAGATTATTCAGCAAGGTAGTAGATAACGATTGACATTGCATTTAAAATTCTGAAGGTCAGAGGTGTCTGGAAAGCATGGAACCAGAAGAGATTCCCATAAACGTGAAATACAAGAAAAGAAACTGTTAGCATAGAACTTACGGTTACATCTAGCCAATCCAACTGTAAAATTGATGAGACTTTCTTGCCAATCGAGTACTGCGCTTAAATTGATAAAGTTCAGGTAACATAACGAAGAGTTCATTCGAAGAAATATCATGAAAGTATTTATAAAAAAGGCACAGGGAAGCTACTTTGGAAAGTGACTGAAGCCGATACGCCAGGTCAGGGCTAATAATATTGCTGATTCTTCTCTGTATTTTATCAAGAATCTCTAAATATATAGCAGGAGCACCTGACCACATATGGCAGCAAAGTATGGATGAATGCTAGACATATAGATATGTAAGATAGATTCGAGAGAGAAAAATTGTCTAACGGCGGAGTATGAAAATATGTTGTTTTTATTGTTTTTCAAAGTTCAAATATCCGGAAAGCGTTTTAACGGAGGATGGAAAATGCAACACCGGAATCCGAAAACGCATTGGATGAGAGAAAGAACCATTCCAAACGCTAAGCAAGGTCCTGAGAAACGAAAAGACTTTGTTAGTGATAAAGAAAGTGGTGAATGGATGTGATATCCATCCTCTTAATTGACAGTAAATGTTGGGCAATCTTCCCAGGCAGCAGAAATGTAGTGCTATAGAAGGATAGTGAACATTCCACGGACGCAGGAGTAAGCAACGAGTAAGTCTTAAAGAAAATAGCAACAGAAAGAACACTTCTACTCAGAATCCGGAAAATACAAATGAAATTTATTGGACATATAATGATGAAGGATTACATGTGGCAGCAATATTCTAAGTATGGACGAATCGTAGACTTATAGATATGTGAGATAGATTATGGGGACAAAGATCATCTAGCCCGACGGTGAACCAACTTATTATTAATGAGATAAGTAAAGCAACTAAGCCACAAGAGGTTACTGGGTATAAGAGGATTAGAAAACAGAAACATTATGAAGGAACAAGAACAATAGAAGAATAATCAGCAAGACAGTAGATAACGATTGACATTGCATTTAAATTTTTGAAGATCAAAGTTGGCTGGAAAGTGTGAAGCTGGAAGAGGGTTCCACAATCGAGAAATGTGAGAAAATAGACTGTTAGCATAGAGCTTATGGTTACATCTAGTCAATTCAATTGTAATTTGATGAGACCTTCTTGCCAATCTAGTACTGCGTTTAAATTGATAAAGTTCAGGTACCATAGCCTAGAGTTCATCCGAAGAAATATTATGAAAGCATTTATAAAAAAGGCACAGGGAAGCTACCTTACAGCGTTGGGAAAGTGACTGAAGCCGATACGCCAGGTCAGGGCTAATAATATAGCTGATTCTTCTCTGTATTTTATCAAGAATCTCCAAATATATAGCAGGAGCACCTGACCACATGTGGCAGCATTAATGTAAGTATGGACGAATGGTAGATTTATAAATACGTGAGAGAGATTATGGAGAGAAAGATCGTCTACCCCGACGGTGAACCAACTTTTTTGAGCAGCAGACATAGCAATGGATTCAATATAATATTTCAATTTCATGTCAGCCAAGAATATTCACCTGAAAAGGCGCAACGAGTTACGTTCTTTGATGTTAGCAACGGCCATACTAATGTAAAGCAGAGAGGAATCTTTCAGATGATCAATCAAGAGAAGTTTAGTTTTGGAGCTGCTAAAATTGACACGCCATCATTTGCCCCAGTTAACAACAGACTTACTATCGAGACAGGAGTAAATGGTTGTGTCATCAGCATAGATACCAAGTTGAGAGCTGATTCCATCAAAAAGGTCATTGATGAAAATGAAAAACAAAGTAGGACTAAGGATAGAGCTTTGGGAGATACGCGCATTAGTACAAAAGGATCTAGAAGAGTGGCCGTTCAGGATGACATTCATTTCGCCATTTGATAGGAAAGACGGAATCAGTCAAAGATATTCATCCGAAGACACGATAACCTTTCAGCTTTTGAATGCCAAACCCTGTAGAATGCATTCGAAATGTCCAAAGCAACAGGCCGAGCTTCACCCTTCTTATCTAAAGCTTGACAGTTTTTCAATAATAATTGTTAATACATCAGTAGTTGAACTAGAAATTTATATTGCTTGTCTAAAAGAAGGTCTTGCGATATGAGATGCTTAACCAATTCTGCGTTAATTAGAGTCTTTAGCAGTTGACCAAAATGAGACAGAAAGCTAATTATCCAACGGTTGGAAGGGTCAGACAGTTCACCTGAGTTCTTAAAAACAGGAACAGCAGAAGGGGATTTTCAACAAGCAGGAAGTCAAGAGGAAGCAAGGCATTTATTATACAGTTTAGAGAGAAGAGAAACCAGTTCAGGAGTACGTATAACAGCAACACCATTAGGTCCACATGCTTTGAAGAAGAAAACCATTCTTTTTGCTTTCTTTGACTCTTGCCTCTAAAAGGTCATGTTGTTTTTGTCTGCCGTCTGCTCGTTTCCATCTGCGTATCTTAGATTGTTAACATAATGCCCACCGATAATAAATCCCGGTAGGGATCTCCAGCTGCCTTAGGCTCGCTGTAGAGGTTGAATAAAGATATCCTTGTCTTACGCCTCTTTCTAGTCATGTGTATCCTCCCCAAATCATTTTCTAAGTTGAAGATACGGGAATGAATAATCTGGAGACTACAAGATGCAATACACATCTAAAGAAGCCCGAAGACTATATCAGTCAAAAATTATATAATAAAGGCAATGAAAATGAAAATCATGTTTTATGGGTCATGTCCCTTCACAGCTTCCTATCCCTTGTAGCTCTCTGTCCATCTTCCCTAGGAGATCCTAAAACAGAATTTTTTATGTTTTAAATTATTCTATTATCATAAATTCATAGCCTCATTATTCAGCCATCAAGCTATGTTCCCGAGATTTTTAAGCCGCCTTTTCTTTTTTTTTCTTAATCAATTCACCCCAAGCAGAGCAATAATGCCATTAAGACACAAAGGGGATACCTGGGGCTAAAGGGAATGAAAAGACTTTACGAGGATCTAGAAATCCAATTTTAAGCAGAAAACAAAGTTATAAAACTATACACCTGTTCAAAAGATTGGGAGGTGAACTTACCTACTGCTATTAGCCAACTTGTGGATTTCTTCATAAACGAAATGTTCCTAGTTTTGATTTGAAGACATCTTTTATGTCGTTTCGATCAGTTCAAGCTATGGAAACCGGTGAAGAAAAGAAGAATGAGTCGGATTGTACGAAGAAATAAGAAGAAATGAAGAAGGAAAGAAGAAGAAAGAAGAAGAAGAAGAAGGATAAGAAGAAATAAGAAGAAGAAGGAAGATGATAAAAGAAGAAGAAGAAGAAGAAGAAGAAGGATAAGAAGAAGAAGAAGAAGAAGGATAAGAAGAAGGATAAGAAGAAGAAGGAAGATGATGAGAAGAAGAAGAAGAAGAAGAAGAAGAAGAAGAAGAAGAAGAAGAAGAAGAAGGATAAGAAGAAGAAGGAAGATGATGATAAAGAAGAAATGGAGGCTAACCGTAGTCGAGATTATAGAGTCATTATAAACTCCACGATCCTTTCGTTAGAGGTATGTGTTTCGCACGTGCTACATATGTTTTTAAATTAAGAGTTGTCCTTCTCCAAGATTAGCTCCCAAACAAGGCTGAAGAGCCCAGTCTGATCTACTATTTAAGCCATAGCATGGGGAGAAGAGGTGGATCCATACATTTCCCAATGCCATTGGCGCGTAAGTAGAAGTAACGAACTCGACTGGAATTCGAACACGGCTTTCTTATTTCTCATTCAGAGCTGCTATCCATTACAGGAAAGGAAGAATAAAATGGAGCGAAAGAAGGAAATGAAGGAGAAAATGAAGAGTGAAAGAAGGAAATGAAGGAGAAAATGAAGAGTGGAAGAAGAAGAAGAAGGAGAAGGAGAAAATGAGTAGTGAATGAAGGAAAGGAAGGCGAAAATGAGGAGTGAAAGAAGGAAAGGAAGGAGAGAATGAGTAGTGAATGAAGGAAAGAAAAGAGAAAATGAGAAGCGAAAAATTGAAAGGAAAGAGAAAATGGCCAGTGAAAGAAAGAAAGGAAGGAGAAAATGAGGAATAAAAGAATGAAATGAAGGAAAAAATGAGGAATGAAAGAATGAAAGGAAGAAGAAAATGTGGAGCGAACGAATCAAAGGAAGAAGAAAATGAGGAGTAAAAGAAGGGAAAATAAAATGCATCAAAAATGAAAAATAGGTATAAAAATCTTCATTTACAAGTAACAATGGGGAAAGACAGTGAAGTGATTTCCCGTTACTTTCTCCACGATTTGAAATTCAGGGTCTTCCTTCTCTTAGATGGGTTGCCACTTAAAGCTAGAGGACACAGTCTACCTCGCTATTTAACACATAGTAACTATCTGTCAGTAAATATTCTAAAAATCAGGTTTATCTTTGTAGAGATAAAAAATGTTTGAAATCAGATTTATTTTTGTTTTCCTAATAATTTTTGAGACCACTTTTCCTCGCTTCTGAATTTTCCCAAAGGTTTTGTAAACGTCGCACAACAAACAGCCTAGTGATTATAAAAAAAAACAAAACAAAAAAACAATAAGGTACTTAGTAAACTAAAAGACACTTCTGAGATTTTTCTATCATGCGATAATAAAGAAGACATTGTAAAGTGACAATTTTCTGTTACTAAATATACATGCCAGCAGCCGGAATTGACCACAATAACACTTCCGTTGCGTGTTTTTATTGGATAAACTATAAAATGAGACCAATCCTATCACCAGGGTGTGCCGACAAGTGTAACATTCTGTCTGGAGGATAAAACTGCAGTTCGTAATATAACATTACACATCACAAATATGCCATTGGATATTTTAGAGATCTGATTGGTCAAGCCCCCAGCCTATGAAAGACTCAAGCGACGGATGAATTCTTTTGATGTAAGCAATAATATTGCATGAATGGCTCAAGAAAGGAACTTGCTAAGTGTTAGAGTAAGATAAGCCTTTACCTAACTGCTCTTCATAATATCTTATTTACCTATCGTCCGGTTCACACTCCTCCTCGGATTTTGAACAGTAGTAGAGATCATTCACTGGTTTCCTGTTCAGGACTGGATTTCCGGTTCTTTCTAAAGTCTACTTCAACTCTATACGTCTTACGTCTACGCCTAAACTCTGAAATTTTATTTGCTAATTAAATCTTGACCTCTTCAAGTCTAGAATTAGCTGTCTATCTTGCCCTTTCTTACGCAAATAGAGTTTCACACAGTAACCCTCTACTTTGAGTGACTCTCGGGCCTTGTACTGAGTGAAAATTAGTAAAAAAATAATTGGGAAGTAACTCTTTAAAGAAGAACGAATTTGACGCTGCACATTTGAGACTAACAGGTTGGTCTCTAAGGCTTGACGTTTACCAGCTAAAAAGATATTGAAGGTCTCCTTCCCGGGGAAGCTGACTTTAAGCCTGTCTGTTGAACTGGAGTAGAGGTTTATCCCTTGTTCTCTGTTTCGGATTGGGTTTCCGGTTCCTTCTAAAGTCTGTTTCAGATCTTTATACCTAACGTCTATTTATTTCATTCTATTTTAAACTCACCTCCACAAATAGGAGTAGATAGCTTCGCCTATCGTCCAGTTCACACTCCTCCCCGGTGTTATGAACAGGAGTAGAGGTTTATCCCGTGTTTTCTATTTTGGACGGTTTAGGCTTTTATGTGGCGGTTTAGGCTTTTAAAATCATTCAGTGTGCCAACGGCATACGTATTTTTATACAAGTCAAGATCAATATACCTGTTCTGTAATGTATTCTATATAGTAATAAATAGTATATATACTTAATTGAAACAGCTAAATATCTTCTTTGTGTCGTAGTAGTTATTGGTTCAGACTTCGTGATGTCATTTGTGGCTGCGTGCCATTAGAAATTGCCTGCCTTGGGTTGCCGACCCCTGCTCTATTAGATAGCACCCACATAAATGGCTGCGTGCCATTAGAAATTGCTTTTATTTTTAACTTTTAATTTTATTTTTAATTGTCCTCCATCAATAGGAGTAACTAGGTTCGCCTATCGCCCAGTTCACACACCTCTCAAGCCTTTTGAATAGGAGTAGAGGAATATTCCTCGTTCTCTATTTCGGATTGGGTTTCCGGTCCCTTCTAAAGTTTTCTCATTTTCTTTCACCCCACCCCCCTTGCGTCTTAGTAGCATTATCTCCTTGCAATTTTAAAATTTTTGCGACCATCTATGTATGTGAGTCCCCACGTATAATATTGAACTTGTATCACATAATGCTCTTGATGATGAGACATTTAAATATGATCATCTTTTGATAGGTAGGAAAACTGTTGACCTCGTGTAAGGATCTGGCTTGTGTGAAGCTTAGTGAAATCCTAGTGAGGGATGGGATCATTCAACCAGGCGACCTTGAGTTACATGCTTTATCGCATTAGATAACACCCACATTAAAAATTCCTACTGTAAAGCGGGTGGCAGGTCAATTATATATAATCTTAATTCAAGCAAACTGATGTTCTTATTAAAAGATTCCATAATACGAGTATTTTTTTAAAGGCATTTCGCCCCCAAGCAAGGTGATAAAGCCACTAAGACTCAAGGGTGTTACTGGGAATGGAAAAGAATGAGAAGATTGAAATTTTTGAAGATTGTAACTGATAGGGAAAGCAAGAGACCGGAAGAGAGTTCTAGAGGTGAGAAGTGCGAGAAAAGAAGAAACTATTAGAATAGAACTTGCGGTTGCACTCAGCTATTCCAAGAGTAAAACTATGAGACCTAATTGCCAATCTAGTAGTACGCTTAAATTCATGCGGTCGATGTAACAAGGAGGAGAGCTCAGAACAACTGCCATGAAAATATCTGTCGAAAAGGCACACGGGAGCGACGTCACGGTGGTGGGGTATTTATTGAAGTTGAGATGCCAGGTCAGGAGCGATAACACTACAGACCCTCCTTTGAATTTTGCCGAGGATCTCGAGAAATATGGAAGGAACAACAGACCAGATATGGCAGCAATATTCAATTTACGTGTAACAATATTTAACATGGCATACGGACGAAAAGGTTTTTTTTAAAAAAAAAAAAAACGACTTTATTTTTTTTATCAGGAAGGAACTCATTTTCCCGGGATATTGAGAACAGGTGTAGGAATTCTGTGGAAGAAAAACACAATACGATTGTTACTGTTCAGCGAGGCACAGCTGGCAGGTTTAGAGGTCAGAGGTTAATGTCGACTTTTGAAAGGTGTCAATTTGTCTACGTACTGGGAAAGTTATTAACCAAAATTGGGAAGACAGAATGAGCAATTAGGGGGGGGGGACGTCAGGAAGGCTGATGTCATATAATGGCTCCACCCGGAGGAGGGAGTATCTTCCAAAATTGGAAGTGTGAAACAGGGAACGAAAGAAGAAGACTGGTTGAATTTTAGGAGATTTGCATACCCCCTCCTTATGCGCCTGCACCATACCAGTTGGAAGGGACACCCATAAATAGAAGCGCCCACGTGGGTTAAAGTAGTTGGAGCTGAAGTTGCGACCCGGAGTTGCAGCGAGTTACGCGGACGGGGAGTTAAGAGATTTTTTTTTGCCATTACGCTGTTTTGCCAACCTAATGATAATAATAATAATGTCTGCTGAAGCAGAAGAACTCCGACGATATCCTTGTGCCGTTCTATGAAAGTACAAACAACAGGACTTGAAGATAAATCCAGTTGTCAAGTCTGGCCACCCTTAGAGAAGTTAGCCGAAATTTTCGTTCTGTCGCCAAATATTAGAAACAGGTTGGGAAAAGAAGAAAAAGAAAGAAAAAAAACCCTTTAAATATTTTTTTATTTTGATATAAATATCATCTAGTGATTTATTCAGGCGTCGTCTGTTTTATTTTCAATTTTGTGTGCGTATTCAACTCCTTGTTTTAGCTTGATTGAGATATCCCAGTGATAATTCAGCTTGACCCTCTTAAGATCAAAAATCACAACGTGGGTAAGAGAGGTCATAGTTGAAGAGGTCAAACCAGCTGCTGTGTCAAATGCCACCAACGTCCGACGCATGTGGACTGACGGGTTGTTCTCCGATACCAGGATCGATCCAGACCATAGACAGCAGGCCCCGGCCACGCCACATACGGCCGACTGGCATACTTATAGATATACAAGATGGATTCTGATGAGAAAAATTCTAACTATTTTAAATTCAAAACCTTGATTATTCAGTCAGAAAACATAAGATATAATAAACAATAATAATAATCGACAATACAACTGTGTGGGTTGATGAACTCTTCTGCTGAATGCATTTCTTAGAATTAGAATTAAAATGTGCACGATCACAGCACTCTACACATTCCTTTTTCTTTGAATATCTAAATTACTATGGCTTTTTTTCGAAAACATTGTACGTCTATATTTCTGAGATTAAATATTTACATTGTTCGGACTGTTGTCCTCATCTATATTGCCATATTCGCGGGGTATACACTGATGTCGTCAAGGGCACACAATTCAGTAGATAAAATCGTTGGTCGGATCCAATGACTTAACCCAAAGAGTTGTGAGTTCAATCCCTGGCTACTGCGGCGGTGAACAAAAACTTGCAGAGTTGAGTTAAAGGGAGATAACTGAAAAATCTGGAAGAGATATAGCCCGTGGAATTAGAACAATCTATCTCGGTGGACGAAATAAAGGGTTCAGTTTGAAATTCCAATCATCTGAAGAAGGCTGGAGCATACAACGACCGAAACATCGTTAATATGGCAATAAATATGAAGACAACAGTCCGAACAATGTAAATAATATAAATGAAAACATTGTAAATTGACAGTTTTTTTTATATGGTTCATTAAAGTGATTGTTTGATTGAGTATGCGTTCATTTGAATCTGGTTTCTTTAGCAATACTACGAAAATTGATCTTATATCTTCCAGTGTTTCACCGCTGTTATATATATTTAATTTATTTTATTTTGATACCACTATCAAGGGATGTGCGGGTAGCGTAACGGTTGCCGGTGTGCATTGTGGAATCGACGAGTCGAGATCAGATTCTCGCAAAGTCCATTGTATTCATTTTTGCACAAATACTTTGGGGGGGGGGGTAATTCAATTTCTTATAGGTTAAACAGTAGGGTATACGGGTTTCTGTTTGGGTGGCAACCATCTCATGAGAAATATTATTCTGAATATAAAACCATAGAGAAGGCAGCAGAAAACTAGTCTAA